TTATATATAATTTATATATATATATAGGAACGCTTATTCACAAAAATATTAAAAAAAAAATATATTCTTTACTCGAACTAACAAGTTCCAGATTGTAATTATGAGTACCAAATCGTCATACTTAAATTAAATGGAGAAAATTTGCTTGACTTAAAAAAAGGGGGCGGAATCAAATTAGATAGCTCTATTGGTTGACACGAATATCTAAGTCGTGTTATACTGTTGAATAACAAGCCTTTAATTTATTCTATTTTTTTTTATTTCGTGTGCTTGGGAGTCCCTGATTATAAAATCAACCAAGAATTGATCATGACTGCAGTTTTAGAGAGACGCGAAACCCAAAGCTTATGGGGTCGTTTCTGTAATTGGATAACTAGCACTGAAAATCGTCTTTACATTGGATGGTTTGGTGTTTTGATGATCCCGACTTTATTGACCGCAACTTCTGTATTTATTATTGCCTTCATTGCTGCTCCACCAGTAGATATTGATGGTATTCGTGAACCTGTTTCTGGATCTCTGCTTTACGGAAACAATATTATTTCAGGTGCCATTATTCCAACTTCTGCAGCTATAGGATTACATTTTTACCCAATATGGGAAGCGGCATCCATTGATGAATGGTTATATAATGGGGGTCCTTATGAACTAATTGTTCTACACTTCTTACTTGGTGTAGCTTCTTATATGGGGCGTGAGTGGGAACTTAGTTTTCGTCTGGGTATGCGCCCTTGGATTGCGGTTGCATACTCCGCTCCGGTTGCAGCTGCTACCGCAGTTTTCTTAATCTATCCAATTGGTCAGGGAAGTTTTTCTGATGGTATGCCCCTAGGAATCTCTGGGACTTTCAATTTCATGATTGTATTTCAGGCTGAGCACAATATTCTTATGCACCCATTTCATATGTTAGGCGTAGCTGGTGTATTTGGCGGTTCCCTATTCAGTGCTATGCATGGTTCCTTGGTAACTTCTAGTTTGATCAGGGAAACCACAGAAAATGAATCGGCTAATGAAGGTTACCGATTCGGCCAAGAGGAAGAAACGTATAATATAGTAGCCGCTCATGGTTATTTTGGACGATTAATTTTCCAATATGCTAGTTTCAATAATTCTCGTTCATTACACTTCTTTTTAGCTGCTTGGCCTGTAGTAGGTATTTGGTTCACTGCTTTAGGTATCAGCACTATGGCATTCAATCTAAATGGTTTCAATTTTAATCAATCCGTAGTTGATAGCCAGGGCCGGGTAATTAATACTTGGGCTGATATAATTAATCGTGCTAACCTTGGTATGGAAGTTATGCATGAACGTAATGCTCACAATTTCCCTCTAGACCTAGCTGCTATCCAAGTTATAGCTACAAATGGCTAGAGACTTCGTCTCTTAGTATATAGATAGAGAATCTATTTAAAATAGAATAAAGGAGCAATTCCGCCTTCTTGTCTAGAACAAGAAATCGGTTATTGCTCCTTTATTGATTCCTTTTTGAAAATAACATAGTTTAGTCGGGGGCGGATGTAGCCAAGTGGATTAAGGCGGTGGATTGTGAATCCACTATGCGCGGGTTCAATTCCCGTCGTTCGCCCATCACTCGAATTATCGTTTCGATAAATTCTATAAATGGGTGAAATATATGAGTGAAAGTAAATAACATGCCGCTATGGTGAAATTGGTAGACACGCTGCTCTTAGGAAGCAGTGCTAGCGCATCTCGGTTCGAGTCCGAGTAGCGGCATAAAAAATAAGAGTAATCTTTTGTTCTTTTTCATTTTTTTCTTATCTAATTCGGAGTTAAAATCTTATTTTTTTTTTATTTTTATGATAGTTTCAACCTTAGAACATATACTAACTAATATTTCACTTTCAATAATACTCGTTTCTATTTTAATTAAAATTTATTTGAAAATCTTTTTTGTAGATGAAAACATAAAACTTTCTAATTCATCAGAAAAGTGCATTTTCATAACTTTTTTATGTATAACAGGATTATTAGCTACTCATTGGATTTCGTCGGGCCATTTCCCACTAAGTGATTTATCGGAATCTTTGCTTTTTCTTTCCTGGAGTTTTGCTCTTATTAATAGCCTTTCCTATTTAAAAAAAAATACAAAATTATTAAGTACAATAATAAGCCCAATCAATTTTTGTATCCAGGCTTTTGCTACTTCGGGTCTTTTCACAGAAATTAAAAAATCTTCAATATTAGTCCCCGCTCTTCAATCTGAGTGGTTAATAATGCACGTAAGTATGATGATAGTGGGTTACGCAGCTCTTATATGTGGCTCCTTATTATCAGTAGCACTTATGGTCATTACCTTTAGAAAAAATGAAAATATTTTTAAAATGAATTATATTTTTTCGGCTAAAAATTTTTATAAGATTCAATTAAGTAAAGAATTGGATTATTGGAGTTATCGAGTTATTAGTTTAGGGTTTATCTTTTTAACCATAGGAATACTTTCGGGGGCTTTGTGGGCGAACCAAGCGTGGGGATCTTATTGGAGTTGGGATCCTAAAGAGACTTGGGCTTTTATTACTTGGATAGTGTTTTCAATTTATCTACATACTCGAAGAAATAGAACTTTCGAAGGTGCTACTTCGGCAATTGTGGCATCTATAGGTTTTCTTCTTATTTGGATATGTTATTTTGGAGTCAATTTAATTGGATTAGGTCTACATACTTATGGTTCATTTTCGCGAACATAAAAAAAGACATTAATTTTTTACTTCGTGAAAAGCTAAAAATTTGTGAAACCCGTGCTCTCAAATAAAAATATTTCCTATTTGAGAGCACGGGTGTTCAATAAAAATAGAATGAATTCAAATATACTTTTCTGGACCAGATCAATAAGCGAGACCCATACTGCGAGTTGTTTCATGCCATAAATAAACTCGAACACTCAAGAAATCTGTTGGGCAGGCGGATTCACATCTTTTACAGCCTACACAGTCTTCTGTTCTCGGAGCAGAAGCAATTTGTTTAGCCTTACATCCGTCCCATGGTATCATTTCTAAAACATCGGTGGGGCAGGCTCGGACACATTGAGTACATCCTATACATGTATCATAAATCTTTACAGAATGTGCCATTGGACGAATAAATTTATAAACTTTATGAATTATCGATATAGTATCCTCCAAATATTATTTTTATCCAATATAAAATTATAAGATACTTGGTTTTTAGATACTATATGACTCAATGAATTCTCAGAAGGATTCTAATCAATAGATTTCTGGATTGGTTTTGAAAATAAAAAAAAATTATTTTATGTTTTAATATTATCATTTTTTTATAACTACGCAAACTACCTACAAACTACCTAATAGGGTAAATAAGGATTCTTTTTTTAATTAACTCAATCTATTGTTTTAAAGTTTTAAATAAATACTCCCTTCAAATTTATACAGTAAGAATCAATAGACAAAAGGACATGATGTCTTTCTATTCACTACCCCAAGCTATTCTTTTTTAATTGTTTCAGTAACCATATTGTTGTTCTAAATTTACCTCTATAATAGGTTTGAAAAGCTATGCAACTTCAAAATGAATGAGTTTTTGTCTCTCTAATCTCCAATTTATCAATTAATTCTTTATAGCGGAATTTATTTTTTTTTGATAAATAAGCTAAAAGTCGTTGTCGTTTCCCCAAAATTTTACGTAAACCTTTTTGAGATAAATAGTCTTTTTTGTGCAATTTCAAGTGGGAAGTAAGCCGGTGTATTCTATTGGTGAAATTCCATACTTGAAATTCAACGGAACCTCTGTTTTGTAAGTTTTTTATCATAAACTAAATGAACTCCCTTCATTGATATATAATATGCATTTAAAATAATTTTTTATAATTAAGTTCTAGATTCATTTCATAGATATGAAATAATTGATTAGTAACTAAAACGAACGAACAAAAAATAAAGAAAAAAAGGATAATATTATTTACTTTTATTCTATATTATAGAATAAATCAACTTGACAGAAATGAGTCCAATGTTTTCTTATTTTTTTTGTAAAAAAAACTTTGAAACTTACCCGTTAAAAGAGATTTTGCTAATGAAAGAGCTTTTAATCTTACCTCAATAGTCTTTCTTTTCCAAATGTTCTTACGAATACGCTTTTTGGCTTTCGAAATACGTTTTTTTGGAACTGCCATTTCAAATGATTTACAGGTTATCACTGGATGTGAAAGACATTTATTGCTAAAAAGGAATTCTTCTAACTAAGTCTATCAATTCAAATCAAAAGAAAACCCTTTCTTTTAGGGTTCATTAATAAAATCAAAGTGAATTTTTTCAACTTAATATTCTTTTAATGAGGTACAATATATCTATATAGATCTAGATAGATATATGGTATCCTCAATTCAGTTAGATCCAAATTAAAATGAGGTATAAAATAGGGTATGTGTCCATATTGGTTTTCATCTAACCTGCTACCATCTACCCTGCTACAGGGTAGATAGTACTACTATCAATTAAATTTCCACCAATTTAAATTCAATGGTAAATACATATGGATCCTTAACATACTGAAACGACTCCCATTATTAGTATAAAACCAATAACGATTCATACAAGCTAAATCTTCCAATCGATAATTAGGCCAAAGAAAAAATTCAATTAATTTATTTTGATCCTTAGGCCCAGGGTTGCTTTCTTCCCAAACTTTATTTTTGTTGGAAACTAGAGAATTTGCATCCACGCCATTCCATTTGTGTGAATTGAAACAAATTAGAGTTCTTAATTCTCTACGACGCCTAGATGATAAAATATTTTCAATAAGAAGCGGATCACAATTATTGTTCTCTCGAGCGCGAATTATTCTTTGTTTTACGTCTTCTTTATTAAGAATTTGTTTACTCTTATGAACCAACGAAATAACTATCGTTTCATACATAAGAAATTCTCCATTTGGTTTGATAGACAGCGGAAGGGGGTCGACCAAAAATCCCGTCTTTTTTAAAAATTCTGGAACACTCTCTTTTGAATCTGGAACACTCTCTTTTGAATCTGGAACATTTCTTTTTGAATCTGGAACACTCTCTTTCTGATCCATCTGTGGCATTAGACCCAAATTTAACTTTTCCCTTAGAATCCATGATAGCATCATTTTTTTTCGATTTATCATTCTAAGCAAGAGACAATAGATTTGGAGATCTTGGAAAAGGCCTTGATTTAAAGTAAAATCCTCTCTAAATTGAAAAAATAAATAGTTTTTCATGAATAACTCTAGTTCTATCTCAGTTTGACTTTTCTTTTCACCTTCAGTTTCACCTTCAGTTTCGCCTTTGGTTTCACCTTCAGGTTTACCTTTGGTTTCACCTTCAGGTTTACCTTTGGTTTCACCTTCAGGTTTACCTTTGGTTTCACCCTGAGTTTCACCTTTGGTTTGACCCTCAGGTTCACTTTTGGTTTGACCCTCGGCTTTATCTTTTTTTTTACTCTCAGTTTTATCTTTTTTATCTTTCTGAGTTTTACCGGTCTTTTGACTTGTCATTTCATTAAGATTCAAATTTGAAATAAGTGATTCGCTTGGTATAATCCATGGTTTCAGTTTATATAAATTAACAAACCACACAAATTCTGGGAAAACCAAAAGTTCCTCAGCCGTTAATGGACGGTCGAGTATTTCTTCATTCAGTCCCATCCAATCCAATAAAGAATTTCTAGAATGGAGTCGATTCATTTCGGTATTTTTCTGAATCAAAAGAGCAAAAGGATCTTTTTCGTTTTTAAAAATTTGCTCAATTTTCAAAATTTCTTCCATTTTATCAATTAATTGATAATTGTAAGTGAAAATTGGAGTATTTTGAGTATTGTTATAATTACCCGTGATCCAGGACTCAATATTCGCTTTTTTTTTAAGAGAAAAATCAATATTTTTCCAATTCAAATATTTTCTATCGACATCTTTTTTTGGATATGGAATATTTAACCTTTCTATTTTTCCTCTGAAACTAGTGATAGGAATATTTTTCGTTATCGCAAACAAGTTGTTTTGTGACATCTTGTAATGATAAGAAATTGCTTCCCGTTTAGCTCCTGGTAGGGGTTCCACTATTTTTTTCATACTGAATGTATTGATATGCTAAAAGATCATATCGATAGCATTTTTTTAAATTATCTTTTGTTTTTTTATTCAAGACTGAGTTAGCATCCTTTTGTTTCCTGTAAGTATTTAATTTTAATTTTTTACCGGAAGTCCTTTTGTCTAAATATTTTTGTTTAGACCTACGATAGCGATTCGCCCTATTTCTCCATTTTTGTTTTTGTGATCTTAAGGCAGACCAGAAATTAGGAGATAAATCGTAGTGAGAATTCCCTTTTAACCAAAATTTCCATTGACTCGTTCTAGGCCGCTTAAGTTGTTTTTTTATTCCTTCAGATGGAAGTATTCCTTGTGTATGAAATGAGTCTTTTATTTTCTTTTTAATCAAGAAAGATGTTCCATTTTGTTGAAGAACAGATATGAAATTACGTACGTTCAAAAAACCCCTTTCTGATATTTTGTACAATACATATGCTTGTGACAAGTTGGATAAATCACCAAAACTCTCTGAATTTTCCTTATAAAGCTTATTATTATGCGTTTTTATATTTGAATTTGAAAGAGAGTTCATTTTTGTTGATTCCACAAAGACTTTTTGAGTCATTTGGCAAATAGATATAGTATATAAAAAAATACAATTAGATATTCTTTGAATAAATAATTTTATAAAATAATTAAATTTATATATTAATCTATTTTTTTTTTTTTTCAACATTTGACAAAAATTTTTTGACAAGGCTAATCTCGAACTTTTTTTGTAAGGGTTCATATCAAGTTCTAGAGTGACCCTTTTCTTATCTTCCGTAATTCTTTCTAGTTTTTTTTTAATTGTACTTGTCCTATGAGTGATAGCCTGCATTTTGTCTATCGGTGAATAATTTTTCCAATCTGTAATTTTTTCAATTTTACTCAAGGGTTGATTCATTATCTGGTTATTTATTAGATCATCTTTTTCATTTTTTATTACACTCGGGTGTATTGTTCTTGTTTCTTTTGAACTTGTGTTTTTTTTTTGAAAACTTTTTTAAAAATTTAATTTTTACTTTTACAAATTTGTAAAGTTCCTTAAAAACAGGCTTAAAAAACGAAGGTTTTTGTCGTGGATGACCAAAAGGGTGTTCTGTTTCCCTTCCCCAAACTGTTAAAAAACAAAAGTCATCACGAGAATTTAGCGATTTATATTCGTGCCAAGGTTTGAGACAGAAAGGAAATAAAATTTTGATTTGAATACCTTCTGTCAACCAATTTTCCGGAAATTTTTTGTCAGCTAACGGAATACCATTATAAGTACACTTCACATGCGTTTCTCTATTCCATCCCTTTAAATCTTCAGACCATTCAGGAGTTTGAAATAGTAGCATACGCCCGATATTTTTACCGATTATGAATGAAGGTAATAGAATCTTTTTTCTGAGAATTGATTGGGTTATTAATAAAAAACCTCTTATTATTTGGGTATATGGAAAAGTCTCCCAGGCTTCCCCTATCTCTAACCGTTCTATTTCCTCTCGTCGTTTTTTTTCCTTTTTGGTTTCTCTTTTTATTATTATTTTTTTTTCCTCTGTAGATTCTAAAATCCCAAACTCTTTTATGGATGACCATTTTCTAAAAAGCCGTTTCAGTTGAGCCAGGTATGGTAGAGAAAAAAAGGTTTTTTTCCTCATCCTGTCAAAAAAAAGAGGGGAATGCGCATTTGCTTTAAAAAGTCCCTCAATAACTATTTTACGTCTTTGAGTTCGCATAGAGTCTTTTATTAAGCCTTGGCGAAAATCAGATTGGTGCGGATATCGTAATAAAAAAAGCTTATTATCCTCATCTTCCTTTTTCTTTTTAATATTTTTATCTTTCTCATTATCGTCGGATTTTATAGCTTGAATATTTGTATCTTTTGTATTCTTATCTTTGTTTGTAGTCTTATCTTTGAGAGTCTTAGGTTCTTCAAAAATTAATACACTGATCCCTTTTCTTGAACGAATATCATGATCATCTGGTGGATTTGTAAAATACGATATTTGTTCCAATTCAGTTATTAATTTGTATGACCATCGGGGGACTTTTTTACCAATTTCTTCTTTACCTATTTTTTCTATTGCAGAAGATTTTTTATCGTCTGTCTCAATTGCATTTACTAAAAATTTTGTTAGTTGTTCTGAATCCGTTAAATTGAAACTTGATGATAAAGTTGAGAACTCACCAACTTGTAATGGTTTTTTTTTCCTTTTTTTCAAAAGTAGACATCAACAATAAAGCATGAAGTCTATTTAGCATAACCTTCTCTCTCAACTTTTTGATCGAAGTATCGTTTATCGACGTGATATCTTTTTTTATTCTTCCGCGGGAAGGCCCATTTAACAAGGGATCATACTTTTCTGGTAAGTATTCTTTTCTAGTCTCATCATTGTGTATACATAATCGCGTTTTGTTTGTTTCAATTTCGATTATTGGAACTGCTACTGGTTTGTCAAGATTTTTAATTCGATTTAGCAAATCAATTTTTATAGAATTTAATTTTTGTTTGTTTCTAGAAACCCAAAAATTGTCCAATGTATTAGAAATATCTTTTTCTAGTGACAAAAGGGGTATCTTTGTTTTGATTATTTGAAAAAACGTTGATAAACTTATCGGATGGGTAAAAGATATTCTATCTTTTCCATCACTTTTATGTATGTCAAAGAAATATTGTGCCATTTCGTTTCTTACAGCTTGTTCAAGTCTATTATTTTTTATGTAACGAAATGGGCGAGTCCATCTTTTATAATCAAAAAGAAGAGCCACAATATGTTCTTTATTTTCATTTTTTTCAAGGATTTCCAATTCGGAATCAGACCCTTCCAAGTCTGGTTCATTTACCTTCAAGTCCAATTCTTTTTCCAAAATACCTTTTTCTTCGGAAAAAAGGGAAGGATCTTTTTCAGCGGATTTCTTTTTTTTTTCTACGTCTTTTTCTTCCTCCCTTTGCAACCTTTCCTTTTCCCTTTGTTCTATTTTTGAGACCTCACTAAATTTCTGAGTAGGAATAGGTAAGGGTGTTCTGCCTAAAGACTGAATACTTAGAATACATACTAGAGTTCCAAAACTATAATTTACTAAAATAAAAAATATAGAATTTCTCACTAGGTACTTTCGAATGATCGACCTAATAACATTATTTTTCTGTATCCAGACTGCTAAAAATTCCAAGCAATTTATGACTAAAATTTGTCCCATTCCCCAAGCAAACAAACTGCTTGTTACAAACAACATCTTATTATTACAGCGAAACAGATAAATGCTTACTAATCGGGCTAACGTTGAACTTGGTAAAATGCAAGTGTTAAGCAACTGAAAAATAAGATGATTGAGGAATACAAAGATATTCTCTAGCTCACGGATCGAATTTTGGTTATTAGATCCATAAGCAAAAATTTTTTTTTCAGTGTTCAAGAAAAGCTGAATCAAAAGATAAGGTAAAGCAAGGACAGTTATTGTATGAGGTCTACCCAAAGCTAGATAAAAGGGCGCATAATAGATGGATACGAATCTCATGAGCTGTCCCATAATAAAACCAGTGGTTGCTGCTACCTTATTATTTGTATTTGTTTCTTTTTCCAGAACCAGAGTTCGCACAAAGAATAAATAAGAGGACCTTATTGAAAATGTGGTAAGAAATCCATAATAAAGTCCGACTACAACGACTGAATTGAGTACCTTCAAGAATAAATCAGAACCTATAAACATAAAAAGCTCCTTAATTAAAATAAAAATTTTTTTGATATTATCAAACAATAAACTAGTAGATTTGTCTTCACATCTTATACTATGATTTTTTTACTATTCTACTATATGGAATTCAAAATAGGTTTTATATGAAATGAAGTTTATTGGACTTTTCTTATTTATAGAATTTATCGAAACGAAACAGCAATTCGGGTTATGGGTGAACGACGGGAATTAACCCCGTCTATAGTGGTCTTGC